GGCAGCTCACCCCCACCTTCTCAAGGGCAGCTAGGGACGGGCAATAAATGCTGGCCCAGCTAGCAACGCACATGTCCCACGAGTGAATAAAGTCTGTTTCTCTCCACAGATGCTGCCAGACCTGCTGAGTTTCTCCGGCAAATTTTGTTGTTGTTCCTTCTGTCTGTGCCTGTTTCAAAGAAAAACAAAATTGATCATAGCCTTTCTCTGGTTCAGTTCTTGGAGCAATGCCTTGACCAATCAGAGATGTCCTGCCTTGCTTAAAGTTTAAGAAAACATGGGGAGTTAACTGTCAGTCATTTTTAACTGGCACATTCTCCATGGCAAAGCGTATACCAATCAGCGCACTCCTCATGCAGTATTAATGTTGTTTTCCCTTCCCTTTGCAAATTGTCCTGATGAGTGCAAGACGAGATGTTTCAACACATTGTCTTTCTTCAGCAGTACTCATGTTCTGTGCAACCAAATGACTGTAAACTGACATTCATGCCATACCTCCCAGGACCTCTGCTGTCTGTCTGGTCACATTTTGACCCTCCGCCTCAGCAAATGCCTTCCCTTAACAAGTGACCAGTGGCTCTTTTAAATCCATTGATTCAAAAAGTTCTCAAATGACCAAGGGCTATTCTCCTGACTTTGCTTGCAATCCAGGCCAATGGAACTCTGAATCAAACGTGCCCATATGTGGGAAGCCCTTCTCATGAGTCCCATGCAGAACTGAAGAAAACGAGGTGTTTAAATCTGTAAGGTGTAAATGTTTGCTGGAAAGTATTTTAACAAGCCCCATTAGCAGAGATCGTCCAGCCAGATGGCTTTATCTGGCTTCAGATATGTCTCTTGGCATGCGGCCTATTCTGGGAAACCTGCTGTTTGTAAGTGAGCTTTAGAAGCACATCTTAACCAAATTCTAATATAAACCTTTTCAAGTATAAAAAGGTTGAAATATCCTGTGACAAGTGCATACATCTGGCATTAGTATTTGCAGAACAACCATATCAGCACAAGTCAGGAGATACTCTATCGGTCACAGAATCTGTAGGCCATTCTACCCATCATGCCTGCACTAGCTCAAGGGCAACTAGGCCCAGGCAATAAGTATGGGTCCAGCCAGTGACATCTATGTCCCACAAATGAATTTGGGAAAAAAAAGGGATATATATTGATCAGGACACTAGAGAACTCCGTTGCTCTTGAGCATGACAGTGTGGACTCTTTTCATCCACCCGAGAGGGCAGACTGGGCTTTGGTTTCACATCTTTTCTGAACAACGGCACCTTTGACAGTGGAGCACTCCCTCGGTACTGCCACGGTGTTGTCGGCCTTCAGCTTTGTGTTGAAGTCCTGGGGTGGGACTTGAATCCATAAGCTTGAGGCAAGAGTGCTGCCAACTGAACCACAGCTGATACTCCAGTCCGACATTTAGCTTCTTCCACTGGTTTCAAACGCATTAAAGGTTCTGTAATGGCAAAAGTGGTGTCTTGGCAAGCAGTCTTGCCTTGATCAACACCGTTAGGAAAAGATTAATGGGCCATTCACCTTGTTTGGAAAGTCTTAATGAGTATTAAATGGCTGCCACGTACACTGGCAGATCAGTTTTTGTGAAGCGCTCTGGGTTTTTGAGATCTGGGGTGTGGCATGATATAAATAAAAGTCCATTTGTTCTTCATTATTGACATAGCCATGAGGTGTTCAAAGTAATTTAGTCTCCAGAGCATCTGGAATTCAGTCTCAGCAGTGTAGAGTACAAAATATTCTCTTGGTCTCAAATGCTGGTTGGCACATGTCCCTGACATGACCTGTGCGATTTCCCAGGCCAAGCATTGCCTTTCATCAAAGCATAGAAGGACAAGGGCATTATACCCCCCCTCCCATTCCTGGCAAACTACCAGGTCTTGTGGCACATTGGGTAACGCCTGGGCTAGAAGCGCTAGGTTCAAATCCCACTCCAGGACTCGATTCCCAGGGAAAGTGCAAACTGGTTGATTATCAATCTGTAAATGCTTTTCTGACGGGATAAGAGTGGGAGTGTTTCTCGTCTACCCAGAGTCGTGTGGTAGCTGCAGTGCGAGAGACTGCTAAAAGACTCCACAGGTGGGTTCTTGCTGTAGGCTACTCTCTTGGCAAGCCTCCATTGGATGCACCAGTGGGTTCCTGTGCACATTTGGAGTGCTGGCAGTATTGGAAACCCATTCAAACACTGCTCAGTGTTCATGTTTGATACGTATAATCGTCCACCTTAATATTGTCAATGTGTCCCACTGGGGAATAATTACACTCTCTTCTTTTTTTCAGAATTCTATGAATCTTCCCCCAGACAAAGCACGGCTGCTTCGACAGTATGATAACGAGAAAAAATGGGATCTCATCTGTGATCAGGTACTTAGAATCCATTTGTAAGATCGTAAGTATTTGGAGTAGGTCATTCGGCCCCAGAGTCTGCTCTGCCATGCAATAAAATCATGGCTGATCTGATCTTGGCCTCACCTTTGCTTTTTTGTGTGTTCGTAATAACCCTCAACTCCCTTGTTGAGCAAACATCTCTGCCTTAAATACTTAATGACCCAACCCATACTGCTTTCTGTGGTTGAGAATTCCACAGGTAAATAACCTTCAGAATAAATTCCTCATCTCCGTCCTAAATGGGAGATCTTTTATTTTGAAACTGTGCCCCCTAGTTCTAGGTTGTCCGACAAGGGGAAACATCCTCTCAGCCTCTACTTTGTCAAGCCTCAGAATCTCCTGTTTCAATAAGATTGCCTCTCATTCTTCATTGATTAACTCTAATCAGTATAGGCCTAACCTGCTGAACCTTTCTTCTCAGATAAATCCCTTCTTCAACCAAGTGAACCTTCTCTGAACTGTCACGAATGCAAGTATAGCCCTGCTTAAACAATGAGACCAAAATTAGTACACTAGTTTGTGGTCACACCAATGTCCTGTACAATTATAGCAAGACTTCCCTACATCTTTATTCCAGAACCATTACTATTGAGAATGACTTTCCAATTGCCTTTCTAATTACTTGCTGTACGTGCATACTAACCATTTGACTTGTGTACATAGTTCTACTGTAGCCTTCTGCAGTGGCTTTCCATTGAAAATAGTGTTTTGCTTTTCTGTTCTCCCTGCCAAAGTGGATAATCTCATTTTCCCACATTATACTTCACCTGTCAAAGTTTTTGCCCACTCATTTAATCTGTTATATCCTTTTGCAGAGTCTTTTTATCCTCCTTTCGTCTGTCTGCCTGTGTCTCGTACTCCATGACTCTGTGTCTCTCACTCTCTGTCTGTCTTTGTCTCTCTGTCCGTCTCTCTCTCTCTCTCTGTCCATTTCTCTCTCTCTCTATCCGTCTCTTTCTCTCTCCGTCTCTCTCTCTCTCCATCTGTCTCTCTTGTCTCGCTCTCTCTCTCTGTCCGTTTCTCTTGTCTCTCTCTCTGTCCGTTTCTCTTGTCTCTCTCTCTGTCCGTTTCTCTTGTCTCTCTCTCT